GGATGGATCGTGCGCCCGCCGCGCCGGTAGACGGGGAGAACGACGGCGTAAGCGATCGGCCGGCTTTTCAGTGGCCTTGCAAACTGGTTCCCTGCAGCCCGACTCGATTATGCTAATCGCACATGCGTGTCGACTGATCTGCTCGCACACACGGCGCGCGTGGCTCGTGTATTTATCGGTTGCACCGTCCTTACACGCACGCACACACAACACGCGGAAGCGCACATACGTACGCATACATACTCGCGGTCAACGTTACAAGAATCAGGATACCGATACCGTCCGAATATATATGTATTTGTATGTATCTATGCGCGTGTGTGCGCTGGAATTCTTGATCGCGAACACCCTTTAATGCCACCACGACCTCCCGCCAACTGGACATTTTCTAATGCGCGTAACGGTATCTTCAAGGTGCTGCCGCTGCGTTTCTTGCTAAATCTAGCGTGGTCATTTGTTGGCATATATGTCCTTGCTCTTTCTCTTCCACGATTTCTTTTATTATTCGGTAATATTTTTAGCGCAGAGCATTATTTAATTTTTACATGTTTAATTTTTAGAACAAATACTTATTAAAAAGATGACTCATTGATTTATCAAGTTTAATTTTAATATAAGATTGATTTTAATATAAGATTTTGTATTTGAAGAGAGTGAAGCTTTTAATTGCACTCTTGATGTAATTAATAGCAAATTAATATCGCATGTTAAAACAATATAAAAATGAAATGTCGACCACATCTAATAATTATATCGTTCTTTCATCCTTGTTATATATGTAATTTTCAACATTATTAAAAGTCGTGATATATGTATAATAACGCGTTAAAATGTAAATTCATTGTACAATGGTCCAGCAATTCAGACAGGTTTAATGCCCGAGAACTTCCGCCAGGCGAATAAATCATACATATAGCAATATCGAATTCATATATAACAAATTATAGTATAATATGGAAGTTGAAAAAATATTGTCATCCTGTTTTTATATAGGATGGATTATTTTACGTAATAGTCTATCTCGTGATATCTCATGAATATGCATCAATATCAGTTTAAAATCGCCTTACAATTAATCGCCTCTTTTTTTTACGAGCCATCTCGTTCGAAATTATATGTTGCATGTAATGATAGTTATTAGCGTATCCGCTTTTCGCGCCCATCTTTTGTAATTGCATGTGTGGGTATGGGGGAACATATTATAAAAGTAGTCGGTTATCTCACATTAACATCTTATTCGTAAAATGTGAAAGATAGTCATATAAGTTCCGTTATTATATATTGAAGATGATCCTAAAGTGAATCAAAACGTTCATGTATCATTATTTTAATTTTATATTGAGTAGACTAATTACGACGTAAATTCGCGTCTGGATTTTATTTGCCTTTTATGTTTGTGTGCTTATATTGAAAGATAGTAGTTGCATTATTTGAAGCATAAAATATATAAATCAGTCTAATCTTAATGATTTATAACAGTGGCTATTGTTAATAATATATTATTAATTGGCTGTTACATTATATTTCCCTAATCTTATATTATATAAATCACTTTTATATATTTTGATCTTTATTTATTTTTTTTTGTATTTCAAACTATCGTTCTACCTGAAAGTGAATATATTAATAGTTAGCGATTTAAATGCACTACGTGTTATATAGTGCAAGGTCAGGAGCTCGTAACTTTTTAATATAACGCTACTGCTGTACGCGGCATCAGAAGAGCGTTCAGTTTATCACGTGCTTAGTTTACGACTGTTTTACGAGGCGCGAACGACCGACACGAGCTACGAGTTCCATAACCGTCAAATCCAAGTGCCATTTATGACTGAATCTTTAGGGATACAGCTGTCTACAACACGACATCGTTTATTTGAACTGGCTGTTTTATCTACATCAACCGGTGACATAGATCTCTCGACATATTTTTTCGTTATTTTCCCCATACTTTTCTATACCTTAAAGAAAATCATTAGGAATAGGTATCACATCCTATATTAATTTTTATTTGATTAACAATATTTATTTATTATTATAAAAAAATGCCAATCTCTTCACTTTTTTTCATTTCATATATAAACCGATTCTCGCTTTTTTTTATAATTAGGTAATTCTTTTCATTTCTCAGAGTTGGAAGAGTGATGTAACAGAAATAATGTGCGTCTTCCGGGATGAGAGCGCCTGACGTAAAATATAGTTGGCGCCTCAACCGTTTTCGACAGATTGAAGTATAATAGTAGATAAGGGATTGCGAGACAAAGAAACTCCTATCCAGAGGCCATTTTGCTAACTAGAGGCCATCGTAGCTATATGACGTCACTTCCATATCCAACCATGGCGTCACATGACGCTCCACCCTGTTTTCAATCACCTTGGACTCGAACCCACCCAGCTGTCAGACACGCTCCACCCCGTTTTTTCCTCTTCTTCCGTGCTATCACCATCGCCATCTGCCGGTAATATTATGCACTTCTTAGACCCTTAAATAGTTAGTTGGTCTGTGATCTTTCCGATTGATGTCACTACCAAACGAAGCTTAAATACTTATAGGTTAGGTTATAAATAACTTGGGCAATTAATGTATCGTATTGCATTCGGCAGGAAGAACACTTGTTCTACTAGTGACATATACGATATTGTCTCTCTTTCTTTACGTTATTTTAATTTAAAGAAATTGATATATTTCTCAACACAGTTGGAGAAATCAACCCTTGACGATACTCGCACACTTCGCAGTAATTGAATTAAAAAATGCCGTGGAGAGTGCGAAGCTGCGAAAAGTACGCATCAGCGAGATCCAGATACTTGCACTTCAGATGAGAATACATAAAGGGGAATTTACGGAGCGGGAATTGAGTTCAAATCCTGCGAGAGGTTGAATTTATACGCGGGGGATGTAAGGGAAGGGAGGTGGGGATGGGAGATGGGGGCAGCGAGCGCGTGGAATCGCTATCGGCGGCCATTCATCAATCCGTGGAATCAATACGCTGGAATTAATGAAAGCGCCGCGCGAACAGCAAGCTAGCGGCCGGAATGTTAATCGCGATCGTCCCGCGTCCGACCCGTTCTCGTGTACAGCAAACTCCCAAGGGCCGCGCCTCTCACCCCTTCTTTGTCACACCCTTCACTCTTCACACCCGCTGCGCCAACCCGTTGCACATTTGAGCCCGCTCCTAACCCCGTGTCTAGCGCCACCCACACTGTCATACCACCCGCAACAATGCCGTATGTATATCTCTCCACGTGTATATTTTTATGTATCCTTCTGGCGCGAAACAAATTTTTCGAATTATTTATAAAAAACGAATATATTTTATCATTTTTTCATTAATCATTTACTGACACTTTAAAGCTTATATTGCCTTTTACATATAACAAAGTTTGTACAAATAGTATGCAATTTTAAAGATTCTTCTTAATTAGAAGTTTTAATTAATTTTTATTTATATATATATATATATACATATACTTAGACAAAATTTAAACCAAGAAATTATTAAAATTAGAAAGATTTAGAAATTATTAACATTAAAAAATTGAAAAAATTAATAATCTTCATTCGAAAATGTTGTTGTGCATCTTTGATACATCAAATACAGTCGGTAGAGAAGATTTCGATCCGGAATCGGCAGATCGACTTCTTCTCTTTGAAGGGAGAGCCCTTCCAGCTTCAGTCGATAAGGAATCAATTGATATGGATCATAATCTTTAACTTCTGTATATATTCAGAGAAGTAGAACTATAGATTATTAGTTGCTATATTTATTAATTATTTGTGTAACTTTAGTATTATTAATTTACTACGCTTTCTCTGCTAAGGAGAGTATAATTTTATATTCAATTCAATCATATGTTTATATCTACTGCTTTTTTTTATGCCTGCGTTTTACAATTTAGTACTATTTCATGTAATTTCTAAATGAGAATGGATGCAACGATTTTTTTTTCACACAGAATTCTGAAACAATTTATAGTATAGATAATATGTGAAATACAAAACATTTCGATAATTATGTTTTTATATATACATATATATGCGTATACTACATGAAGCTATGTAAAAATGAAGATTTTGTTATATTTTTTATGCCAAGAAATATATTTTGAATATTTGATTTGTTTTATAATCAGTTTAAATAAGGAGATTTAACAGGGAAAATAAAACGCGCGATTGCCAATTATATACCGATCTTTATCTTTTTATGAAATATTTCTGTTGCACTTATAAGTTAGTTAATACTGAACACATTGAGTTAAATATGAGTAATTTGCGTCCGTCCTACTAATTTCACACAACACATATATCGGTAGCTTCACAAGGCTTCCGAAAAAGAGATTGATGCGAGGGGAAGATTTTGGTGGGAAGTGGCCATGCTGCCTAATGGATAGAAATTTTTCCAAATTTAACGATCGCTTAGCCCGCCCACACAGAACACTGTAATAAGTTTGGCGTCTGTGCGATGGCCGTCACCGTGACGAGCACATGTGTAACTCGCCTTCTGTCATTCAGAGAGCTAAAATCTGCTTTCAGTTCATTCAGTTCGCTTGACAAAGATCATGCAAAGTGAGCTTTTGGTTGCGTTCGTGATGCTATATGTTTAGATATCGTGGAATCTCCAAGATATATCGTTGTAATGTTATCACTTATTATCATTTTTATCTAATTTCTCTAACGATAATAAAGTTTATTTTCTAATATTAGAATACAGATTTATATATACATCTTATCCGAAATTATTGCTAATGATATATTGTGCAATTTATTTATGATTATTACAATACTGTTAACACTACGTCTTATTATTTAATATTTTATCTGTATTCTTCTTATTGTTAGTAGTAGTAAGAATTTAATATTATTTTCGATATAATTGTTATTTTTAAGTAAAGTACTTCATATTGTGCGAAATATATATGATATACGTATGCAAAGCGTGCTTAATTTAATGTTGCAATATTGTAGTATAATGTGACACGTGGCTTTTTTCTTTGTGTTACAGGTGCGGCGTAACTTCGATTGTAGGGTGGACAGAGGAACGAAACGGGTCTGGAGTGGCTTGGCGCTTTGAACGAAGGTGTCACACCAGGGTAGACGAAGAACTTTGATTACATCTTCCGCCACCATCTCGTATACGCCGTATACTCTCCCTTCTCTTTGCTAATTAAAGGTTCTGTAGTGCTCCAGTTTATAATTTTATCGGTAGTGAGCTCAGTGTGATAAAAAGTTAAATGATGTACACATGTGATCCACGATAATGATAATTTGATATATATATATATGTATATATATATATGTATATATATATATATATATATACGTGTGCTTGTGCTATCCAAGAGTGCGTGAAATGAGAAGAATTGAGTGAGAAAAAAAGTAAAAGATTCGCGAAGAGAAATGCAATTTCGAAGTGATAAATCTGTATCTATGTAAAGACGTGTGTTAGTGTGTCCGCACGCAAGAGTACAAAACAAAATAAATATACATACGAAGAGAAAAAGAGAGAGAGAAGAAAAATCATATAAATCAGCCGAGGATAACCAAAGGAAAGCCCGTCAGCAACGTAGAGAAGTGACATTAGCAGGTGAGACAGGTGGGACAGTAGCATGAGTTCGTACTTTGCGAATTCGTACATCCCGGACCTGCGAAATGGCGGGGTGGAACACCCGCATCAGCATCAGCAGCACTACGGTGCGGCCGTACAGGTACCTCAGCAGACACAGTCGGTTCAGC